AATAGTTTAAAAATAAATAAATATCTTTTTTAGTAATTTTGTATTCTAATCGCATCCTAATTGTATTGTCATTTAAAAATATAAGTAATCACATGGTAACCAAATCACATTTTCATTCACAATTTTTACTAATCGCATAGCTTCCAAATCACATAGTTCCCCTCAAATGAATCGCAATTGCACTCAAAACACAGTGATATTCGGAGCGTAATTGTTTTACTTATTTCAATCTACCTACGCAAGCTGGTACCTAATTGTGTAGAACTGATTACACAAAGTAAATAACGATTCAAATTTACTAAAAAAAAATAAAAACGAAATATTACACACCTGAATCACTTGATAAAGAAAGAAAAAACAAAGATACACGTTATAACCGGATAAAATATGTCTTCCTTCCTCTTAAATTCACTCTCCGTTAATTAACGCCGTAATTAAACCACACTTCTTCAGTTCCCATTTAACTTTCTCCATCTCTTCCTCCGGCAACGTCACCGTCACAAACCTCTCCTCCTCTTTCGCCGCCGGCAGCACCACCACAGCTCCGTCGTCTCCTATCCCGTGAACATTACAATAAACTGATTTCGGCGATTTTTCCTTTATTTTCGCCTCGTAGAAATCCACTTGGGTCATATCCACGAACGTCAATTTCGCTCCGTAGACGATGAAATCCGAAACACCATCATCGCTCTCTCCAATCTCATCAATCCCAAACCTCTCATCGGTCGCTTCTCCAATCGATTTCACAATCTCCTCCAAATTTGCTTCGGCCACCGAAAAATCGACATGAACGGAACTAATTACCTGACTGTTACTAACCGATCTAGGTTTCAAGCCGTCCGAGTCCGATCTGATGATCGTAATCGTAACCGTCTCTGATTCTCCCTTCCTCACATTCGCTATGCATTTCCATATGATCCCACAGAGAATCTCGAAGACGTCTTCGTTCGCCGGAAAGTGTGATCGTATCTCCTTAATCGTTAGATTGAAAGAGTATGTTGCCATTTTCTTGTTATTTGGAGCGACCCAAAGGTCTCCGACCGGGTCAACCCGTTTGATGGAATCCGGGTTTTTGCCCTTCAAATTCGGGTTTTGGAAACCCTTTTCTCCATTAGAGGCTTTGGGGCAATCGATCTTTTCACCAGCAAAGACTCGACTCCATAAATTGAAGAAATGAGAAAGAGAGGATGGATCTCCCATTACATGGGCCCAGCCCAAGCCCAATGCTAATCCACCGCACTTAAACCGGGTCATCTACGCCAACAAAAACCGATTTTCTAAACTTTTTATTTTACTTTCGTAAGTATAGAGATATTTCAAGCAACAATATATGGTATGATAAGGTCGCAAAGGCCATTTCATTTTATGCTTTTTTTTCCTACCTTCTCTTTTCCGAAATCAGTTTTTTCATAGTAATCCTACGAATATTAATTCAAAAGACAAATTAAATAACAACTTTCGTTGATGTGTCGTGTACACAGAGAAAATGAATGGCCTAATCATTACGAATTTTAAATGATTACCATGTAAGCTAGCTGCGACGAATGTTGTGTACTTTTAAGTTATAAGTTTCACGGTTTCACCTACAAGTTCTCGATATCACTAATGAGATTTTAAGGATTTGATCAGTTAGAGAGTTATTGAAGTAGTTTTGCCAAAACAATCGTAACCAACTTTAATAATGCGTTAATAATTATGATAATGAGTTAGGAAAAATCTTAACACTTAAACTGGGTCATCTATGGCACCAAAACCGAATTAAACCGATGTTTTTATTTCTCAAATTAAATGAGTGAGTTCAGATTTTTCATGCAAACAACATGGTATGGTCAGGTCGCAAACCATCCCGTTTGACTTTTCTTAAATCACACTTAATTACAGAAGAAGAAAACAATAATTGTGCTTCTACGAAGGTCTGCAAAACATTCATAGAATTCACTTGTTTTATTTTCTATTAGTTTTGTTTGAAAGAATTGGATTTACAAGGGTAATGAAACTCCACAACGGTCAGGTACTTTCATATGGAAATCGATCATGGCGATATTACATATTTTTCTCTGTTCGTAAATGTGGATTTTTAATTTGTTTTTTCCTTTTTTTGTACTTTGCGTAAATTAGTAGATATATGATAAACGTACCTGAATATAGATCAAAGGAGAGAATGCCAACTCCGGTCCAATTGGTTGATGATAAACCAGAGACTCATCAACGGACCGGTCCGGTACACGGAGCCACTCCTCCACGGTGAGATCGCATTGGCTTTCCACAAAACGCGTACCACAGTCGTTGCACTTTATGTACGGACGCCCCGAATCATGCCGCCTGAACCTCCCAGTGATCCAAGGGATCTGCTCGAACACTGCAAACAAGGGCGCTTTCACGTGCATCACGGTCAAGTCACGTGCCGTCTCGGCCGAGTATATATAAACCGCCTTTAGGTAGTGGAGCTTCATGGCGAGGTCTAAATCGGTGGTTTCGTGGGTCGTACTGGTCTCTGTTGGTCTAGACGCAGTAACTGTTGATAACTGGAAGCCATGAACCAGACCGCTTCCCTCTTCTTGAACTCGACCCATGTGTTTATCGGACAATAAGAGACTATATTAGATTTATGAAAACTATTGGCAAAAATGATACTGAGTGATCTCTCGGTCTAGTGTATATATATAGGAAGAAATATATTTTAAGTTTTTTTTTTTTTTTTCAAAGTTATTTTAAAGTTTTTAAAGTTATTTTTACTCTCTCTTTCTTCCTTGTTATATAGATTGTGACTGCAATCTACCCAAGTTGTTTTTTTTCTTCTGAAAATATCTACTCAAGTTGTTACGTATAATGTTATAATAGAGACGATAGTGTTGCTTCACCAGTAGCCAGTAGGTGAACGTGACCCCATTAATTCTTAATTGATTTTTCCTTCCTAGAGGCATAAGGCATCGCTGTGTAAATTATTTGTCGGTAACCAATTGCTG